TTATACGAAGTTATTACGTGATTAACAGTGTATAGCCGAGATAAAATAGTATTAAATGTACAGTGAATGAAAGACTGTCATAAAGCAGAGAAGCCAAAAATATAAGTGAATGTTATCGTAAAATAAGAACGGCGAGAGACAGAATCTTATCGAAGGTGAAAATTCTCCAGAAGGAGGTATAGTAACTAATTAATTGGAAATTAATTATTATGCATAGCTATTTAAAGAAATATCGGTTGCTGTGAGAGCTCACGTTCTCAGGATTGAAATGCGCTCCCGCGGATGTGCAACCCATGCTCAAATCTCCCTTCTCGTGCACGTGGAAACCGTGTAGTCCCTCAGTGAGTCCGTAGATCTTGCCGGTGATAGTAACGGGTCCATCCGGAGGGCTCTGAACGATCTTCAAGTTACCCGTGACATTTTTCGAGGAAAATGATGTCAGACGAACAACCGCCACTAATTCCTAATTGAGTCATTTCGATACAATCAATATAATTACTAACGATAACAGTTCGTAACGCTCTCAAAAAATAGCAAAAAAAGTTTTATTATTAATACAAAAATTTTTTTAAGACAAGATTAATTAGACATCTATTGATCTATGAATCATTTAAAATCCTTAATTTTTAATGTTAAATATTCTGAGAATTAAAAATCGAGTGAAAACGCATCGTAAAGTCTTTAGTTGGATCTCATAAACGAAATATTTTTCTTTGAGGTAGCTTTAGATCGATTGAAGGATTCATAGATGGGGATTTTAGAAGAGCGCACTATATATTCTCCGATTATTCTCCCATTGTATTACAATCCCTATGCACGAATGTCGCATAATAACTGCTGTCCAATTTGGAACTATGTCGTATTACCAATTACAATCAACGCTCGTCACGGTAATAATAATTCGCCGTACATTATAATGCATTGGAAAATCGATTGATGATTTATTTATTACCGCGGAAATGGATTAATACATGCAATATTCGGATTGCCGTACGTACCTCCTCGGCATACGTAACTGTAACAACAGTTACAGCTGCCACTAGTAACACAAGCATTCGACTCATTGTTGCGTGTTGGGCTGTAAACAGAATAACAGAAAGCTGACATATCGAAGCTATACATAGCGTATATATATTATCCTCTTGCTGCGTTTACACATTTTATATCAGAAACTATCTTTATTATTATCTTTAAAAGTAGTCACAATTACTAGTAAATGTAAATGTGCAGTAAAATTGTAAAATTGTAAAATTTTTTAGTAGAAAAAAAATTTTCTTATCAGCATAAAACCTAGTATAAAAGATATGAAGAGGTACAATGTACACTCTGAAAAGTATAACGTTTACAATATTTCATATAACTTCTTTACGTGTGTATTTTCTTATAACAAATAATTTTAATGAAAAACGCAGTATTTTGTTATGATAAAAGATTCTGAGTTCGTAAAAGAGGACAGCAATGCGCTTAGACAATCTCTCAAAATAATTGTATTCGCCTGGCCAAACAATTGATTATGAAATATCCATTAAGAAAAGATTGGTAATTTCCGACTGTGGATCGAGATCCATTTGCGCTCGTGCCTCACGTATACACGTAAGAGTAATCGATCTAAAGGCCAGTTCAGATGAACCGATTAATATTAACCATCGGTAGCCTTGCATGTAAAGGACTAATCGATAATTCCGTGCGACGCAGTTTTTGAAGCGCGCGGCCGCCGCCGCCGCCGAGCCGGTCGCGCGCGATTCAGGAAAGTAGACCGCTTACATAATTCCTACAAAATGTGACATGCGTGGACGAGGTGCGTCGACCAGGTGAAGGTGAAGTCACTTTCACGTCACTTTATATTATCGAGAGATATTACGATCGGTCAATCATATATCTACACATAACTAGCGGGCTATTTATTTTCCCCTGTTACCCACGTGTGCTAGACGTACAGACATGTACAATCTATTCCTTATTATTAGTCCAAGCTGTTAGATGACCTTCGTGATAAAGCACGAACTACGCTCTAATGGCATATACGGTGAGTTTCTCGCTCGGTTAATTACAATATTAACAAGATTATGTAATGTCGTATCTAAACGGCAGCTACGAAACATAATGTTGTCGATGCTGTCAAGTTAAATATAGATTGTGTATCTCGCGTTAATTTTTCTGTGTAGACACTAATGACATTGTACCTATTGTATCAAGGATTGCACGTAATGTCATCGAACATTATTCGAAACAGTTAACTGATCATTGTAGAATTTATTATTTTCACCCGCGGATTTGCGTAAGAGGCTTACGCAAAATGCAAGGTCCACAAAATCATGTAAATTTATGTAAAGCTATATAAGGTAACATTATCGCGCCGGCTGACGCAGAGTCATCGGATATTCCAAGTTCTTATCTACAACCATATACTTAATTTCAATATAACTTTCCGCCTTGCTATTACCTCGTTGACAGCGAATATTACTATTTCCTACCGGCGTCTCTACTCATTTTACTGATGAATCTCTCATTCACCGCTTTTGTGGAGTATTTGTATATTAGCGAAAATTTACTTTTTTTCTATCTTGCAAGGGAAATAAAACTTTCCTTGTTAGCACATAAAAATTTCTGACGTTTCAAGTTGTTATCGATTTGCATGTGGAGTGCACCCATCAGTCCTTCATAGAATACGAGCGCAAGTTTATTGGAGATTTTCTTATCATTCTAATTGGCGTCAATAAGAACACTTTTCTCATCATTATATTTCCTTCGCATTTTATAAAAAAAAAAAATACAAATACTTCAGATATTTTATCAATTTTATTAATTTCATCGTATTTCTCCTATGTACTTTATCTCTTCCATTACCTCACCTTCGCTTTCCTCTGCTTCGAGAAGTGTACATTTATTGGAAAGATTCTTGTCAATGTTATTAGCAATATTACTATAAGACGCTAGTACTTCGCCTCTCGAGAGGCAAAAATCATTTTACAAAATAAAATAGATGTCCTATTAATTTCGAGACGTAGACGTATTATTTTCTTCGTTGTTTCGAAACCGTCGCTACAATTATTCCGACATCGTGAAAAATTTATTATCTCGAGTCGCATTATTACTAGCAAAATTATTCCAATCCGCTTGGCGGTCGGAATTTGCGGAATGCGTGCGTGCGTGCGAACGCACGCCGCCGCGCCGGATGGAAAGTTCACGGTCCAAGGAGTAACACGGTTCAGTCCGAGTGCGAGTACGAGTCAATTCAGCGGTACCTGCGTGTCACGCGGAATTTTTCCGCGAAGGACAGGATGCCCCCGTGAGAGGTGGATAAAAGCACTCGCGGGAAAACGCGACGGCAACAAAAGGGAGCTTCCATCGGAAATATCGATCCACGGCGAAAGGTGTTTCGTTCACAACACCTGCGCGACTTCATCGATCAGCAGTTATTCATGCGTTTTAGCGTAAGCACCGCGCGCGAATTGACGACGCGTTTCGCGGACACCAAGCGGGGTGTACGCTACATATACGACCAGCCCGATGTATTACCATTTCCATCGCGGGATCGGCTTTATACGTCATGTACACTCCGATGTATCCATCGGTCGCTTCTACATATATATTGTATGCTAGATTAATCAGGACTTATAGCGAACGTCTTGCTACATTCCCACATTTCCCAGAACTCAACGTTTTCCAAGTTGAAAACACTTTGCAACGCAATTTCAAGACATTAAACAACATACGTTTATAAGCGGAGATTTAAGCTTCAAATTTAATAACTACAAAAGGCTTGAGAAAATATGAGCCCACGGCTCGAAAGAACTCCAAACAAAATTTACTTTGAGGAAATTGAAAAAAATGTGAATTCGTTCTTACGCACGTTATAATTTTATATAATTACATATTTTGCAATTTTTGTATTATCTCGATAGAAAAGATTTGCAAAGGATATATTGATACATTTCTCTATTTTTTCCACGCATAATTCAAAATATTACAGCTAATTAGAATCTCGTGAAAGTTTAATTCGAGCATTGTTATCTCAATCGAGCATTAAACCCCAATAAACCGCGCAATTGACCACGTAATTGCTGAATTTAACATTAGCGTATCTACACACCGAGTGCATAGATATCGACGTTATGGATTAACGTGTTATGCTCGCGGACTATTTCTGTCAGATATGCGCGGCGGCTTGCCACTGTAGTTTTGCATTTCCAACAGCACACTATATTTAGTATCCTCGATTCTCTACAATCCTCTACAAATAGAATCGGAATTTCCGAAAAAAATCCTTTATCGATATGGGGATGAACTACGCATCGCCCATATGTCATCCGCCCGGTGTTTTACATGTGTGATCGAAATATCGCGTTATTGTGACTTTACAATAATAACAGCCCGAGTTTCGTCTTTAATTTCGATCGTCCGCCCTAATTCGAGTCTTCGGAATTTCACGTCGAAAGCAAAACGGAAAATAAATATTGAACCGAGTTCTCGGAGCTGCATGTACCTATAAGAATAAAATTTCAAAAATTCTCAAGGTCAGTCGCGAGCTAAACGCGGGAAACGAGACAAAACAAGGAAACCGATAAAATCGCGATTTGTCGAAACGAAAAGAATCTTACGATTCGTCTCACGTTCGCGCGATAAATCGAATTGCGCAACGGATTATGCATTTGTCGCGGGCGCGGAGTTTCGAGGCGCGAGAAACGCGATCGGCGGCCAAGATCGGCGGCGGCCGCGGCGGTGGCGACGGCGGCCGGGAGAGGAGCATGCACACGAAAAGTGAAAGGAACCTACCGGGCGAGAGCGGGCACTTATTTTATCGAGCACCGAATGACCGAATGACTGACTGGCTGACTGCGGATGCTGGGCCCATGTTCTGCTTATATCAGCACGGTTGTCCCCCATGCGGAATCCCCCATGCCCGCGTGTGGGGGCAGACAAATCAGCCGCGAACAAGTATCTCGCAAATGATCGCGCACCGACGACACCGCGGCGACCGGATGACCGTCGAAGATAACGGAAGATTCTGCGATCCTCCGCCGGGCCCCGTGCAGCCCCGGCTGGCTCCTTTCGCATAATTCAGCCAATCAAATTGCGGCTGCACAATTGAAGATATTATAAAACGTAAGATGTTATGTTACGCAGCGAAGAGAATCGAAATTAGGGTTGAAACCTGTATGCAACATTTATCCGTCAATTAATAAATGTCAATTTACATTACGTAAAAAGAAAGTTTTTGTTGAGAGATTTAAAATTTTGCTGAATACAAATCCGAAAATAAATTTGGTTGGATTATAAAAAAAAATTATTGACGCAAATTGATTGCTAGAATATCAAAAAAATTCTTTGATATTCCAACGACGTAATTTATTTGCAAATCTGTGTCCAGCAAAATTTTAAATCTTTCAGCAAAATCGTTCTTTCCGTGTAATGCTTAAACATTTTTATTAATTTACAAGGAGAATACAACTTTCCTTGTTAGTTATACATAAAATTCCTGACGTTTCAAGTTGTTATCGATTTGCATGTTTCTCCTCACCCTGAACTCGTTTCATAGAATACGAGCGCAAGTTTATTAGAGATTTCCGTTCTTTTCGTATATGCGTCAGCTTATTGGCTTTACTCTTTTTTTTTGTTTGATTTATTCGCGGAGCCTTCTTCTATTAATTATTTGTTATGAAACACGATAATTTCAAAGCAACACAGTTATCAGCTCTACACGGAAAGAACGATTTTGTTGAAAGGTCTAAAAATTTTGCTAAAAACATATCTGAAAATAATTTTTTGTTGATTCATCAAAATAATTTGTTGGAATGTTAAAACTGATAAGTATTGCTATAAAACGTTTTGATATTTTAGCAATCAGCATTTTGACTTTTGCACAAAATTATTTTGATTATTGAACAAAAATTATTTTCATATCTGGATTCAGCATAATTGTTCTTTCCGTGTACAAATAGGGAGCTACGAAACGCTGTAACAAGCTATTACAAAATAACAATCAGATAAATATAAGGCGGTTGAGTGTCTAGCATTTGGAGCAACGCCTGATAAGATCAATACCTGTCAAACATAAAGATAAAACGTATGTCGTGA